GTGGGAAGAACAGAATATAATGAGCTTATTCCATCTTGTCTAGACCCAGAAGTCTTGTCCATTTTAATTCAAGATCTAAGCTTTCACATCTACATTTAAGTGAAGACCAAGGAATATATTTAGTGTATGCGGCCTATTGATGTGTTTTTTAAAGTAAATAGTTATTATTGCATGATGATTATCATTATGGTCTTCTACTAAGAATAGATTTTAATAGGCTAGTTATTTCTCCCTTCCATCTTCCCTCTAGTTTGGAAAGAGCTAAATGTAATGTGAGTATCTTACAAGAGGAAGGAAAAAGTATTTTTACTTGTGTCCAGTTTTCATAAAAATACAGTTCCTGAAAGGAATGATTTAAAACCTGAAACAAGTGCACATATAAGAATAACATCTATTGAATATTGGGGAGGGGGGAGGAAGGAGGAGGGGACGGGTATATGCATACACAAAGAGTGCAATGCGCACCACCCGAAGGATGGACATATTTGAAACTCGGACTTAGGGGAGGAGGAGGGGCAAGGGCAACATACGTAACCTAAACATCTGTACCCCCATAATATGCTGAAATAAAAAAAATAAATAAAAATAAAACCTGAAACAATGACTTAGGATGGGGTTTGTCAAACTATGGTCTGATTTTGGTCAAATCCAGTTTTAGGCCTGTTTTGGTAAATAAATAAAGTTTTATTGAAACACAGCCACTCCTGATCACTTACATATTGTCTATTTTCATGTTAAAGTTACATAGTTGAGTACCTGCAACAGAGAACAGTCTGGCACATAAAGCATAGAAGTATTTATTATCTGCCCCTTTATAGGAAAAGTTTGCTGATCTCTGACTTAAAAGGTATTGGAAGCCTAAATTAATTGTAATCAGCATCCTCATTTGATTTGGATGCTTATCTCTGAAATCCAGCATGGAATAGGAGAAGGAATATACATGGGCTTTAGAGTCAGGCGGACTTGGTTTTGAGTTTTTCCTCACTTATTAGGTAGCTGACTTTAGTGCCTCAATTTTCTCCTCTGTAAATTGAGAGTAGAGGAACTCTTCCACTTAGGAATTTGAAATTAAGAGATTTAGTAATTTGAAACATAGCTATCTATGTGCCAGAGGAAAATTGCATCAACTCAGACCTCCACCAACAAATTTGTAGTTTCTTGTTTGGTGTCATTTTATATTAATGGTAAAATGGATTCAAAGTAACTAACTTGATTGTAAGTAGAGAATTTATTTAATGTCTTCCTTGAGCTGTGGTTGTGAGAATGTGAAATAAGACAAAAAGCCTATATCGTGCTCCATTTATTAAATGGTGGGGAATAAGAGTCATCTGTGGTAGTAAAGATCCCAGTATAAAAACACCATTGCCAGGCTCAGCTTAATTATTGATGTAATATTATGCCTTTTTCACTGCATTTTAAGCATTTTGAGGTTGGGTGCTATGTATTCCGTTCATAGGTGGGGGCAAGATTCAAATTGTATGCAAATGTAGCTGTTAACCCAAAACATTGTAGAGTTAAAATGACTTTAGAATAGCTATTGAATATTTCCAAGAAACATGAAAGATTATTTTCAGTATGTTTTTTTGTCTGAAAAGTTTGTCATTGTCATCTGATTCAAGTATGGACTAGACCTAGAACTTAATTTTGGGTTGTCAAGTCACTGGTTCTGTTGGCCAAGATATATTTTTACTGGATGCAAAAAATATTTAGTTAATAGTCAAGCCTGGCTAGTTAGTTAATTACTTTAAGTATAGTAATACTTATGATGATAATGTCAAGGTCAAAAATTCTATTCTCTGACTAGTTATACTTTTATGAACTATGACTGAACTGTGTATCAGCTAATCTCATTAGGTACAGGATGAGTATGTGGGTAACTTAGTTCAAATCCATCACCACCACAGTAAAACCATCAAACAGCTCAAATATCAGTAGTCTGAACTTCGGATATAGTGGATGGCATTTATAGATTATGGGAAAGTCCCTTTAGACTTAAACAGGAACTTTAAATTATTAGTAACTTGTTTTTTCATTAGTATAGTTCTTTTCCTGACCTACCTTTACCTTCAACCTTAATTATTTTAGAATCGTATTTGAGAAATATACTATTGTTCAGATCTTACATTTGATTAGCTCAAGTGTTTGCCAACCTTGATAAGCATTTACTGAGGCATTTGGTTTTCTTTTTCTTCTCAGTTTCCTAGACCCCCTCTCCCTAAAAATTCTGATTCAGTGGTTTGGGATGGAACCTGGGAATTCGTATTTTTAAGTAAATGTCCCAGGTTGTGAAGTTTTTTTGTTTTGTTTTTATCATTAGGGAAATTTAGGAAACAGAATAGGAAATCAAGGAGAATTCTCTTTTTAAAAATGCCAATTTTTTGTTAAAAATATTATTTTCAACTCTCTCAAATGTTTAAAATCTAATTTAAAATATTAAATTATTTAAAATTTAATTTTGAAATCTGATTTGAAACCTAATTTTAAGTAAGCTGAAACTTTAAAGATTTCTTATTTTTCTTTCTCAGTTTTACTTTTTAATGGGATGGACTTATTCTATCCTTTATGCTTAATATCTGTGTTTTTTAATAACTTATATATCTCGTTTGATTCTTACATAAGAGATATCCTTCTAAATTTAATATGTACGTATCTTGCTAAGTAGAAATTTGATTTTCAGGAACTTGGTATAATGACCTTTCTTTAGTGGGGCGGGGAGGCTAGTATTGTGCTGTTGCCTGGGCTAGAGTGCCTAGTTCACAGCAACCTCAAATTCCTGGGCTCAAGTGATCCTCCTACTTCAGCCTCCCAAGTAGCTGGGACTATAGGCGTGTGCCACCATGCCCTGCTACTTTTTTCTATTTTTAGTAGAGATGGGGTCTGGCTCTTGCTCAGGATGGTCTCAAATTCCTGACCTCAAGCAATCTTCCTGCCTTGGCCTCCCAGAGTGCTAGGATTACAGCCGTGAGCCACCATGCCCAGCCCATGATATTTCCTAAATACAAATTGACAAGCAGTGCTTATATCCCTTTGGCTGTGCATATTTCCCATTATTCACTGTTGTATGCTTTTAGTAAATGTGCTTTCATATTGGCCCATCAGCATTACTTTCTGAATCAGTACCTCTGAAGTTTTTCTTAGTCTCTTTCCATTGTAGCTGAAAATAATTCTTTTCTTTTTTTGAAGTAGTGGTGAGTAGTGGGGAGATAGAGCTTTCCTGGTGTGCTAGCAAATAATGGCATATTTATTTAATTGTAGAACCTTATATACCAATAAAGTTCTTACTGTGCAGTTTCAAATTTACAGATTATCCATCCTCTACCCAGCTCCTGCTATACCTATACACCTGACCCTTTGATTCAGCAAAGTCTCATGTTTTCACTCTCCTATGCAAACCAAGCTCATTTCCTATTCTAGGCCAAACTTTCTCTTTCATGATGCTCATCTGTAATTCTTTGCCACTTCTCTACTTACTTGAACTCTACCCACTAATCAAGGGCTAATAAGTTTAGGCCCTTCCTGTATGCAACTCTGCTCAACCATTCTCACTGATACAGATTTTCTCAGAAGTACTATAGCATATGTCACTCATCTGAGGATTTAATAATATACTAACTTATCAGTTACTTAGTTGTCATATGAGAGTGTTTTGGCTATCTAAACTGTAAGCTTGTATATAGGGTGGGACTCATAAAAGAAATTCTCGCATAAAAGAACTTCTTAGCACAATCCTTAGCACTTAGACTATCAAGTCCTTTTGGTGGTTTGACAAAATTTTAATGACTTTTTAAAATGTCTTAAGCTATTCAAGTAAGATGTTATTTTATCTTTAATCTTTAAGGTCTAGTACCAAGTAATGATCAGTTAATTATATAAAATTAATAATAGAGTCACAAATAAGCATTATTAATTTTAAATTTCAAAATGTATAGGAAGGACTGATTCCTTCCACAAAGATTTTACTAATCTTTTTAGCCTTCGTGGATCCTTTTGAACAGTTCTACTTTTAAGAACCCTGTGCCATTGATCTGTCTCACTTTTCCAGTACCTAGAATATAGACATCATGGGAAATTACTCTTTGTCACTGTATTTCAAAGGTGGTCACCAGATCTACCTACATCATAATTACCTAGAGTGCTTATTTATTTATTTATTTTGTTTTTCTTTTTTATTCTGTAGAGATGGGATCTCACTGTGCTCAGGCTGATGTCGAACCCATGAGACCCAACTATCCTCTCGCCTCAGCCTCCCAGAGAGCTAGGATTACAGGCATGAGCCACGGTGCCTGGCCTACCTAGAGTGCTTATTAGAGCACTTTTGCTTCTTAATGCCTTTTTCCCTGAACTATTTGCTGTTTTTCATACATATTTCACTTTGTTTATTTTGTTCTTTTGCCAAACATTTCTCCTTTCTATCATCACTTTTGAAATCCTTTCTATTATCTAAAGCTATCTGGCAATTATTTGTAGAGCAGTTTTAGTGTAGTGGTTAGGTACACAGGCTATTGGGTACCTACTGTCTGATTTGGAATCTTGGCTTTGTCACATTTCCAAGATCACGAAGCTAGTTACGTACAGATGTTTCTGTGCCTCAGTATCCCTTTGTGTAAAGTGGGGATAACAATTTATCTCATAGGGCTCTTATATGTGGTAGATTGATTAATATTTATAAATTTCTTAGAATAGTGCTAGTACGTAAAAAGTTTATTGCTGTGATTTCTTCCACTTTTTAGCTCTTAAAAAGTTTTGTAGTGTAGTAACTTGTTTTCTTTTCTTACCTCTTCGTATTAGTTTGATTGACAGTTTCTTGAAGGTAGGGCCGGCCTCATTAATTTTTGTAGTTTTCGATGGATTTGTATAATAAAGGGTGTTCAATAAATATTTACTGTATTAAATCATAGGAAAATGGCAAACTCTGCAATAAGATTGTTTTTCAGAGCCTTTTTACTTAATATAAATTATAATCTAAAGTAATTTAATACTCTCTCTCTATTGTATTTCAGGAATTCTGATGAATCATTGATTGACCAGCACTATTTTACCAGTTGGAATGAGTTACCAGAAATGGGCATAGTGCTTTTAGATCCAACATGTAACAGATGGATGTTACTCCATGCTAATTACTTCTTCCAGCCAACACATTTTTGATTGTATAGGATCTTTGTCTCTTCATCTTTGAATTCCAATTACTGGCAAATAAAATAAAAGGAGTTCATGTAGTTTTTGTCCAAGCTTGAGTCACCATGAGTAGTAGTTTAGGAAAAGAAAAAGACTCTAAAGAGAAAGATCCCAAAGTACCATCAGCCAAGGAAAGAGAAAAGGAGGCAAAAGCCTCTGGAGGTTTTGGGAAAGAAAGCAAAGAAAAAGAACCTAAGACCAAAGGGAAAGATGCCAAAGATGGAAAGAAAGACTCCAGTGCTGCCCAGCCAGGGGTGGCATTTTCAGTTGACAATACGATCAAACGGCCAAATCCAGCACCTGGGACTAGGAAAAAATCCAGCAATGCAGAGGTGGTTAAAGAGCTCAACAAATGCCGGGAAGAGAATTCAATGCGTTTGGACTTATCCAAGAGGTCTATACACATATTGCCATCATCAATCAAAGAGTTGACTCAATTAACAGAACTTTATTTATACAGTAACAAATTGCAGTCCCTCCCAGCAGAGGTGGGCTGTCTAGTAAATCTCATGACACTGGCTCTAAGTGAAAATTCACTTACCAGTTTGCCTGACTCTCTTGATAACTTGAAGAAGCTGCGGATGCTTGATTTACGGCATAATAAACTGAGAGAAATTCCTTCAGTGGTGTATAGGCTAGATTCTCTCACCACTCTATACCTTCGCTTTAATCGTATAACTACTGTGGAAAAGGACATCAAAAACCTGTCAAAACTCAGCATGCTTAGCATTCGAGAGAACAAAATCAAACAACTACCTGCTGAAATTGGTAAGAGGCCTTAGAATATTATTATTATCTGTGGTATTTGTTATGCTAAATAATTTTGTTGAATGCTTTGTCATATCAAAAAAAACCCGATACTTGCCTAAAAACAGCTTTTTAAAATAAGTCCCTTTTTTATGGTTTACTTTATTGTGTTTTTAGCAATATTAACAGTAAATGGCTTGAGACTTTTACAAACTTAAGAAAATAAGCTAGAAAATAGATGTAATCAGACCTTTACCACATAAACCTAATCATCTTTAGTTTTCATTGGTGAAGTAGTGAATTTGAAGGAGAGAAGAAGTTTAAGAAGTTTGCCCAATTTTTAAGTTATTACCACCTATTTTTAAAACATCTCCCTATATAATTGGATATGTTAAGGCTATCTTTTCTCATTCTCTGACTTTCCCATGTTTATCTGAAAAATGTTTGTTTAAATGTACATCACTTTCTACCTAATTTACCACAAAAGGTTGACAAATCAGAGCCTTATGAAGCAGTGTCGTAAGAAAATAGAAAAAAATTTTTTATCTTGAAAGTACTTACGTTTATTAAAAATAATCGTAAGTGTACAGAAAGATAGAAGAAAAGTCACCTATAGTAAATGGAACACTTTAGCATTTTGGTAGATTTCATTCCAGTCTTGTATAAAAAGCTAAATTGTATTGAAACAAAGGAAATGTTTTTTGGCATTTTCTTTCTTTCTTTTTTTTTTTTTTATTTCTGCATATTATGAGGGTACAAATGTTAGGTTACGTATGTTGCCCTTGGCACACCCCCCCTCCCCAAGTCAGATCTTAAAGTGTGTCCATCCCCAGACGGACTTATTATGTATGTATATACACATCCCCTCTTCCCCTCTCCCATTTACCCGACGCCCGATAAATGTTATTCCTATACGTGCACTTAGGTGTTGCTCAGTGGAACCAATTTGATGGTGAGTACATGTGGTGCTTGTCTTTCCATTCTTGGGATACCTCACTTAGTAGAATGGGTTCCAGCTCTATCCAGGATAATGCAAGAGGTGCTACATCACCTTTGTTTCTTAAAGCTGAATAGTACTCCATGGTATACATATACCACATTTCATTAATCCACTCAAGGAAATGTTTTTTAGAGGATGGTAGTAGGGGGAAAAATAGGGAATTATAGATGTGTAAATAAGTCAGTAGAAAGAAATTAGTTGTCTTGATATTTTTAATTATGGAAAAAATTCTGAAACATTTAAAATATGGTAATCCATTTACATCAATTTTGAGTAATAAAGGTATTGCATTTGTGTGGACCTTTTTTATAAGATTTTTAAAAATCATAAAAGGTTGATTATGAAACCTTTTAAGGTAAGTTTTTTTTTGTATTAAAGACATTTTATTATGAATAAAACAAAGATGTATTAAATATATTGTTGTTTTGAGAATTGATCTTATAGTGGATGATAAAGAAAATTTTCTGATTTTAGGCTCTGCAGGTTTTCAGGGATATATTGTGTGTTGTTTTTTTTTTTTTTTTTTTTTTTTGAGACAGAGTCTCACTGTGTTGCCTGGGCTAGAGTGCCATGGCGTCATCTTAGCTCACAGCAACCTCAAACTCCTGGGCTCAAGTGATCCTCCTGCCTCAGCCTCCCGAGTAGCTGGGACTACAGGCATGTGCCACCATGCCCGGCTAATTTTTTCTATATATTTTTAGTTGTCCGGTTAATTTCTTTCTATTTTTAGTAGAGACAGGGTCTCGCTCTTGCTCAGGCTGGTCTCGAACTCCTGAGCTCAAACAATCCGCCTTCCTCAGCCTCCCAGAGAGCTAGGATTACAGGCGTGAGCCACCGCACCCGGCCTTGTGTGTGTGTTCTTAAATTTTATTTAGCTTTGAAAAAGACGTGGTTTAAATTTTAGGTATAATCTATTACATTTAACTCTAATTAGACATTTAAAATCTTAATTTAATTTTAGTTTAATCAAATGTATTTAGAAAATCAATGATAGGTTTTCTCAAGTAATATGCTACTTACAAAGTATGACTCACTCATGAGATATTAAAATATTCCCAGGAATTACTGTGTGAAAATGCTTCATTCAGTGTCTTCAGATAGGAATGTGGTTGTTGCATGACTTTAGTACCAGATTCAGTCAAAATTTGACCTGCATGTTATGGCTCACTATGGTATAGAATTATAGGCTGTTGGAGAAGGAAATGCTAAATTTCTATATAGAAATATAAAAGTTATTTCCTGTCTTCATTCTTGTTGTTTTGCATTTGTGTTACACTCACTCCTGAAAGTTTGGCTTTAATTCACAAGTCTCTTTATAATTACATCGAATTTATTAGCTCCCTCCCACAATTCGTGACATTACTAAAATTTGTGTTCATGTAATTTCTGAAAATGGTGACATCATAAATGTTTATTTTATTCCAAGCAGGGCATCAGCTAGAAAGTAAACTGCTTTTAAAAAATATAATTTAGTGTTTTTTGTAGGGAATTACGATTTATAAGATTTAACTTAGATGCATGGATTTGGGGCAAACATGAAGAAGTCTGCATTATTTGTTCTTTGTAGGAAACAAGAAAATAAAGGTCCAGTAAAAATAGCACAGTCTTTTTTTTTTTTTTTTTTAATATGGAACACTTGACAAATTTGCAGGTCATCCTTCACAGGGGCCATGCTAATCTTCTCTGTATCATTCCAAAAAAACAGCACAATCTTAGGAATAGCTGTTATTTGAGCACAATACATTATATGCCATGCTCTGTTTTGTACATGTCTACTTTAAACATAGTATCTCATTAAATCCTTATAGTAACCTGATGAAATAGGTATTTTCCGCATTGCACTGAAGGAGCTGAAGATATAGGGAGATTAGGTAATTTACTGAAGGTCATGCATCTAGGAAGTAGGCAGAGTCAGAATTTAAACCTTGGTTTCGGAGGTTTGCATTGCCCACACTGGTCTAGGAAGGTGGTATACTACTTTATAGATTTTGATTTAGCGGTCTCTAGCAGGTCCAGGGGATCTGTACTTTTAAGGAGCACGCCGTGTTGTATTATGTGCAGCTGTAGTTGAAAGCCGTTGCACTAGATTGCACTCTGCTTCCCTACCAGAGTTAAGCAAACCTGTAAACAAATGAACATCTAGCTGCTTTCTTTCAGTGAATGGAAGTGTTTTCATATGCAACATCTTTATATTCTCACCTAACCCACTTGCTGTGAGAACACCTTTCTTCTCTTAGAAGCTTATAAGGCCTGGCAGAGTATTTGTTTCTAAAACACAAATGCATGCACATTTCCTAAAAGATACATCTCTATGTGATTTCTTTCACTAAATGGAAGCATGTGAGAAGAAACTGAATATACTACTTCCCTACGTAGAGTAGGGGGTATTAACAGCTTAATTGAAATACAATTTACATACTATATAATTCCCATGTTTGAAGTGTACAATTGAGTGGTTTTTAATATATTTACAAAGTTGTATAACCATCACAAATAATTTTAGAACATCTTCATCACCCCAAAAAGAAACTTTATATCCTTAAGCAATTACTCTTATTTTCTCCTAACTCAGCCCTAGGTAAACATTAATCTACTTTCTGTCTCCATAGATTTACATATTCTGGATATTTCATATAAATGGAATTGTGTAATATATGGTCTTTTGTGACTGGTTTCTTTGAATTAGCACAGTATTTTCAAGGTTCATCAAGGTTGTAACATATATCAGTACTTCCTTTTTATTGGCTGAATATTCCATTATATAAATATACCACTTTTATTTATCCATTCATTAGTTGTTGGACATTTGAGTTGTCTCTGCTTTTGACTGTTATGAATACATTTAGTATAAGCATTCGTATACAGGTTTTGCTGTGGACGTTTGTTTTCATTTCTCTTGGATGTATACCTAGTAGTCGAGTTGTTGAGTCATGTGGTAACTCTATGTTTAACCTTTTGAGGAACTACTAGCCTGTTTTCCAAAGTGGCTGCAACATTTTACATTCCCACCATCAGTGTTTGAGGGTTTTTCTGTTTCCCAGGCTAGAATGTAGTGGGTATGATCAAAGCTCACTATAGCTTTGAACTCCTGTCCTAAGTGATCCTCCTCCATCAGCCTCCCAAGTATTAGGAAGGACTACAGGTGTGTGCCACCATGCCTGGCTAATTATGTTTTGTAGAGACAGGGTCTTGCTGTGTTGACCAGAGGTGGTCTCCAGCTCCTGGACTCAAGCGATCCTCCTGTCTTGAACTCCCAAAGTGCTGGGAGTACAGGAGTGAGCCACCATGCCCAGCCGAGGATTCCAATTTCTCTACATCCTCGACATTCTTGTTATTATCTATCTTTTTTAATTACAGCAATTCTGTGGGTATGAGTTGGTATCTCATTGTGTTTTTTAAAATTTGCAGTTCCCTATTTTTAATTTTTAAAATCTGTCTTTTATTATAATGGAAAGACAGAAATAGTTATTTTCTGTGATACAAATCTTAGTTTATTGGTTTTTAATTTAAAAAAAATTCTGAACACCTTTGAGAATGTTTAAAAAATAAGACCCACACACAATGATCAAGTAAAATGGAAATCTGATACTTCTTAAAGTGTTATACACCTTTATTGTAATTTGACTTTACTGGTAAAACTCATAACAAGGGAATTTTCAATTCAAAATATATACTAATTCTAATTTTGTTGAACTTCCATTTATACATATTAGAGGTACATTATTTATAGATCTATATTAGATTATATATATATAATCTGAATAACAAGTAATTTATTATTATTGTTGTTTGAATGAGTACATCGCTTGCAATCATATGATCCAGTTTGTATTCAGCAGTATATTTGAGGAATGTAGGAAATTAGAAATTTTTGAAATATAACCTACTATTTAGTTTAATATAATTGGAATTTAGCCATTACACAAGGTTGTTCTGTGCTGTGCCTTAATAGGGAAATATATTAAAATTAGAACATTTATCCACTTAAGCATTAATGGCATCTTTATTAATGTGATGTGAT